CTAAGCAGGCTGCCACTTGGGCCACGCACTCAGCACATGCACATGCACATGCTTGTCGCGTCCCAGCAGCACCCGGCCCTCCGCCACGCACAACACATCACATTCACATGCTGCCAGCCTGGCAGGCCCTGCAATGGCGATACAACACAGACAGTGGCAGTGCTCGCCCTTACTTGTGATAGGTCAGCGCCCAACCCCCATCATCGCCCCCGTGACCCCCCACTCCTCCCACCCCCTCCCCTCCCCCGGCCCCCCTGCATCCCTGTCCTGCCTCCCCCCCGCCCTTCCCAACCCCCTGCCCTCTCTTCCCGCACCTCCCCCTGTCTTCCGTCCCTCCCTCCTCTCCCCCCTCGCCCCCCTCTCCCCATGCCTCTGCCCATGCCCCCGGCCCCACGCGGCCCTCTGCCCCCCCCATCCCCCCTGCCCCCTTCCCCCCCTCCTCCCCTGCCGCGCACGATGCCCTCCAGCGGCTCACCGCGCTCCACCGCTCGCTCCACCAGCATTGCCATCTGCTGGTCGCGCTTCGACACCAGAGTCGTCACACGCCCTGGGGGAGGGACACGCACAGACAAACACACATGGCGCACATGCGCGGGGCACACAAGAGAGTGGGAAAGAGGATTGCGGTGACCGCACACAAGTGCACAAGCATGGCTGCGTCCTCTCTTCTGGCATCAGCCATCTCTCTTACAACATGTTTTAAATCAAAAAAAGGAGCAGGCTCTTAAAGTGCCACATCCTTCACAACACTTGCTGCTCCCACCAAACCCCAACCCCCCCCCTCCCCCTCCCCTCTTCCCCCCAGCTCACCCTTGGCCCCCATGCGGGCGGTGCGGCCTGCACGGTGCAGATAGTCCACCTGCCACGCACCACCACCGCGCGCACAGTCACGGGGACTTATCAGGTCACAGACACGGCAGGATTCGGGTGCACGGGAGACAGACAGGGACGGCAAGTGTAACATGCAGGTGAGCAGGGGAGAAAGCGGACGGAAGTGGGGGGTTGAGATGAGTGAGGGGGAGGGAGCAGTACAGGAGTGATGGGGAAGTCGAAGTTGATGACATGGTCCACCACCAGGTCTAGCCCTCGTGCCGCCAGGTCAGTGCACACCAGCACCGGCTGCACCGCCCGCTGCTTGCTGCGCGGCGCTGCTGCTGCCGCTGCCTCGTAGTCGTCATCCCACTCGCCGTCGGAGTCGCTGTCATGGAAGCGGTCGGGCAGCATGGGTGCGATGCCCAGGTCGTCGTCCTCCCCGCCCATCGCCCCGCTCCTGAACGCCTCTAGGTTGCCCGCCCTGTGCCCGCCAGCAGACGCGAGCGTGTGAATGGGAGAGCAAGAAAGAGAGGATAGGAATTTAAGGTTCGGGTTCATGTGAAATGGAAGTTCGGTAGGTGGCCAAGCAGTGCACAGGTGCCGTGCACAGGTGCCGTGCACACACACCAAGGGAATGGCACAGCGTGGGCGCATGGCATGTCGTGTGGTGCAGTGCAGCACAGCGCACCTGTGTTCGGGCGGCACTTGGCCGTGGTAGTTGGTGGTGAGGATGTTGGCCTCGGACAGGAAGTGGTCCACAGCACGGCAAGACTGCACCGTGTTGCAGAACACCATGCACCGCTGCCCCCCCGCCACCAGCGGCTGCACCAGCTGCTTCCCGGAAGAGGGGAGAGGGGGAAGTGGGGGGGATGGCGGAAGAATGAGGCAGGGGAGGGGAGAGGGGCGGAGCGAAGCAGGGGCCGGCGAGGTGGCGCATGAGAAAGGGGGGCCAGGCGAATTGATCACCTGACAGCTAAAAAGGGTGGTGGCAGTGGCACTGTGCGTGGTGGATGCAGGATGAGCGTGAGAAGAATGTTTACTGCATGGCGGACGGGGGAGGAGCGGCAGGGAGGGGGCGCACCTGCAGCAGGGCGTTGGGGCGGCTGTCAGCGCCGGAGACGGGCACAAAGCGGTGCGTGGCGGAGGGCAGGCGGCGGTGCAGCGACGCCGTGTGCAGATGGGTGATGCCCGGGAACTCCTCGTTCAGCAGCCGCTGCACCGCCTGCCATGCACACACACACGGCAGTGGCACCACAGGGAGGGGGGCAGTGGAGCGCGTCTTGCTTCCAGTACACATGAACCACAATCAATGGTCACTAGCAGAGTGACGAGGGGGAGCGAGGAGAGAGGCGGGAGGAGCAAGGAGAGGCGGAGGGAGGCAGTGCAGGGCGTGCAACAGGGCACCTTGGTGATGGTGGCGGTGACGAGCACGGTCTGAAAGGTCCTCTGCGCTGGCCCCCCTGGCGCTACCTCGCCCCTCTTCCTGAGCGGCCTGAGCAGCCGCCTGATGTCCGCCCCGAAGCCCGCGTCAAACATGGTGTCCGCCTCGTCCAACACCTGCCGCATAGCACGGTGCAGAGAGGTGCAGAGGGGCACAGAGAAGCACAGAGAGGCAAGCACTTGTCAAAGACGCATTGCTGTTGTGAGGAGGGCGCCGCATGGCGTGCGCAAGAGGATAAATACATAGGAGCAGATGTGGGCACCCTGCGACAACAAGAATGGAGACAGGCATTGAAAGGGAGAGCTGGACGGGATAGAGGTGAGGGGGGGAAGGGAGGGGGGTGTGGGGGGAGGAGGGGGAGAGCGGGGGTCATGGGAGAGGGCGTCAGGAGGGGCACGCACGAGGTATTTAACGAGGGAGAGGGAGAGCGAGGAGGCGGCCATGTGTTGCAGCAGGCGGCCGGGCGTGGCGATGAGCAGGTCCACGGGCCACGCCTGCAGCTGCTGCTGCTGCCCCGCCATGCTCGCCCCCCCTGACAGCATGGCTGCACGGAACCGCGCGTGGTGGCACAGCGACTTGGCCACGCGCAGCACCTGCGCGCGGGGGGGAACGTCAGCCAGGGGAAAGAGAGGGGCCAGGGGGAAAGGGGACAGCCCAGGGATGTGGTGAGGGCGTGTAGTGGATTGGTCGCGAGCAGCGAGAGAGGGCGTTGGTGGTGTGTGGGGTGCAGGACAAAGGAGAGAAAGTGAATGCCTTCATCCCCCTCACCCCACGCTACACCACCTCCTCCCCCCACTCCCCCCTCTTGTCCCCTATGCTTCCCACACCCCCTGGCAGGCAGCAGCAGGAGGGCGGCGGCATCAGCAGCGCACCTGCTCGGCGAGCTCGCGAGTGGGGCACAGCACGATGGCGCGCGGCCGCTTCAACCGATCGCTGCGCCCACTCTCCGCCTCGTCCGCTCGCATCATCTGATGCCATGCCATCAACCCATGCCATGCCGTGCCATGACATGCAGGCGAATGATGCGATGACATACAGCCACGCATGAACGCCACGAGACACAAGCGGGAAGGGAGGGGGGGGGGATATATCAGCGTGACTGGTTCACCGCTCAGCGCCTGTACCGGCGCACCTACACCGCCCGCGAGCCTTTCGCGCGCAATTTTCCGGACACGCGCACCCGCATCCCTCGCGCCACAGCCCAACACATGCTCCCTGCACCCCGCAAAGCCCCAAACCCTCCACCCCGGTTTCTAAAACCCTACGGGCAGCAAGGCGCGCGGCTGACCTGCACGACAGGCAGCAGGTACGCGAGGGTTTTTCCCGACCCCGTGTGCGACGCCACCACCACGTCGCGCCCGCTCAGCGCGCCGGGAATGGCGAGGCGCTGGATCTCCGTCGGCGCGCCCAGCCCCAACTCGCGCACTGCGCCGATCAGCTCCGCGCTCAGCCCCAGCTCCTGAAACCCCGCCTCGGGTCCCGCCGCGCCTTCCGCCCCTCCCCGCGCCTCCGCATCCACCGCCTTGCCCTGAGAAGACGGCTTCCGCGCGGGTTTCGACGACGTCGCAGACGCGTCGTTGGGCGACCGCAGCGACTCGAGTAGCTGTCGCGCGCGCAGTCGCTCGAGGGGCGAGAGGAGCTCGGGCGACGAGGGGGCATCGGGGGCGGTGCTCGACGCGCGGACCGATTGGTTGGCGGAGAGAGCGGACGTGGGGGAGGAAAGAAGCGCCGGGCGGGGGAGAGAGAGGGCCGCGGGGAGGAAGGAGAAAGCTGAGAGAGATGAAAAAGCATGGGCGGGCCGGGCGGATGGGTCGGGAGAGGAGCGCGAAAGGGACAGGGAAGCGGAGAGGAGGCGCGGGCGCGAGGTGAGAAGGGAATGCGGGGCCGAAGCAGCGGCGAGGGCGGTGGGCGCGTGAAGCATCGAGGCAGACAACAAGGCTTTGCCCGACGCGGGCGATGCGGAGGGGGAAAGGCGGGGAGGCCCGCCGAGGGCAAGCATGGCTGACGAGCTGAGGCGCGTGGAAGGCGCAAGGGCGCGGCGGGAAAGCGGTCGTGTGGTGTGTGGCGGGCGCAGTAGAGGACGGAGAGCAAAGGCGGTACGCAGCAGCGGCATCAACGGGCAAGGTCGAGCCGTTGGTGAAGGAAGATCCGAGGTTTGCGCTAGAGGCTCAATGAGGGTGGACAAGTGATGCCTTTTTCGAACTGAGGTGCTGCAAATGTATAAAGTTCATTGGTCCTAACCACTCTACAACGGGTACAACTCATCAACACACCACTCTGCCAACTGGACTTTTTCATTCGTTCCCATTTCAAACCATATATCACGTCTATCATGTTTGATAGCAAGTCATGCCTACATCACATCTAATAACCGCAACGAAGGTTCCAGTGAGGTGTACACGCGATGACCGCAGAACCACATTCGAGAACTTCAACTCGTCAGCCGGATTCGCCTCGCCACAAGCAAGCTCGCTCGTCACCGCACCATCGTGTTTCACCACTTCCGCACGCTCACAAGCTTACCGAGGATCGCGGCGTTGAAGACTCTACAGCTCACCGCAACAGCCTCCCACTTCTATCCCTCGTCAGAATCTTAGCGAATCTACTCTGTGCATGGTCCATCGCCCGGCCTCCTTTTACGGTCAGACCTCGATGGCACACTTTTTTCCACACACAGCCGAACCGCGACAGCTAGGGGTCCCATGTTTGACACTTACCTCCGTTATTGTCTTCTTCGCTTAGCGTGATGCCCATTCGGTCGCTCTCGATACTGTACGACCCCGTGGTTCCCCCTGACGTCGTCGTGTGCATCGTCCTCTCGACTCTCCTCCTCGCGCTCATCCTCATGCTTCGCCCGCCCATGTCCAACGCCCCTTCCGAATGGTGGTCCCGCCTCCGCGCACTCGTCTTCTCCCCCACCTCTCCACGTTCTTCCGCCACAAGCCCCGCTTCCCCCTCCGCTGCCTCGCTCTCGACCGCGGCAGTATCCGCGCTGTCTCCGCACACTCAACCGCTGTCGCTTTCCCCCGCATGCGGGGCGGGGAAGCTCTCTCCTGCTCCGCGGACCGGCGCGCTGTTTCCCGGCGGACCCGACGGCGGGTGGGCGCAGAGCGACGGGTGGGAAACGAGTGGCAGTGCGCACAGCAGGGGGGGAGGCAGCCACACGACGTCCGCGCTCTCGCCTGGTGGCGGCATGGGCGCTGCGGGGGTAACGGCGGAAGAGGTGGCGGTAGTGAAGGTGAGGGGGTTCCACTCGCTGGCGCGGGAGTGCGTGGAGCGGGCGGTGAGCGCGGAGGAGCGGGGGAAGGGCAGCAAGGCAGTGGCGTACTACCGCAAGGCGCTGGAGATCATCCACGAGGGGCTCGGCGCAGGCGCGCGCAGGTACGTGCGCGCATGGGTAGCGCAGCTAGAGGCAGGTCGCAGGTCACGTGGTAGCGTGGTGGCAGGGGAGCAGGTGAGGGGTGCATGCGGTATGGCAGCTCCCTGCATCCTAGGTTGTGCCTCACGGCCCAGCTCGTGCCACTCATCCCATGTGCTGCTCCCCTTTCCTCCCATGCGCTTCTCTTATTTTCCCCCCTTCTATCCCCCCCACCCCCCTTTCCTTCCCCCCGCGCCAGCACATCACCTGAAGTGCGGCGCTGCCATGCTGACCTCACGCGGTGGTCCGCTGACGTCACCCAGCGGCTGTCCGTGCTGCTGCACTCTCATTCAGCCTCCCCACCAGCGCAGCACAGGGGGGGGAAGCCCGCGCTGGGCGGCGCAGCTGGGGGCAGGGACGGCGGGCGGAGTGGGGGGGGAAAGGAGGGGGCGAGTGTGGGGGGCGTGGATGCGCAGCTGGTGGCGGTGGTGGAGGGGGAGATCGTGGACGCACGACCCAGTGTGCGCTGGGATGACATCGGTACACACCTCTCACTCTCTCTCTCACACAACACAAGATGCTGATTTTCCCACCCGCCTCGGCACTCCCTCTGCGTCCCGCCCCTCCTTTCCCCATCACCCGCCCCACCTCGCCGAACCCAATCCTCTTCTGCTGCCATCCGTGCAACCGCTGCCCCACACATGCCATCACCACCCACTCTGCCCAAAGCACGCGGCTCAAGCGTTGTAATGTCACCCCACCCCATTTCCCCCCCATGGCACGGCAGTGGGCCTTGAGGGCGCGAAGCAGGCGCTACAGGAGATGGTCATTCTGCCTGCACTGCGCTCCGACCTCTTCCAGGGCATCCGCCGCCCGCCCCGAGGTACCACACGCACGCACGCATGTATCCACCCGCCCACCTGCGCACTTACCCTCCCACCACTGCCCAACCGCCTCTCCCTTGTGCCACCTCCTGTTGGTGACCGCTCTTCATCCGCGCCCGAGGGCTGCCTCTTCCCAGCTCACCACAGCTCCTCCGCTTCCTCGCACCATTCCACTTGTCCTAAATTCTCTCTGTGCGTGCACCTTGCTGCCACCATCCTTCTCGCCACTGCAGCCAACCCCCTTTTCCCCTTCCATCCTCTAAGCATGCTTCCTTGCCCTCTCCACCGCTCCTGCCCCTCCTGCTGTGCTGCGTGCCTGCAGGGCTGCTGCTGTACGGGCCACCGGGCAACGGCAAGACGATGCTGGCCAAGGCAGTGGCGGCAGAGGCGCGAGCCACCTTCTTCAACATCAGCGCCGCCACCCTCACCTCCAAATGGGTGCGCTGCTGTTTTGGCCGTTTATTCCACCTGCTTCTCCATCTCCCGCTTCCCCTTCCGTCTCACCTCCCATGTCTTTGTATACATCTTCTCCCAAGCCATGTCTCTTCGCCCCCCTATTTATTCATCTTTCCTGCATCTAGAAGTCCCTCTTACCCTCCCTCCCCTCCCTCTTATCAAAATACACCCATAAACTAACCCACCCGTGCACCCATGCCGGCACAGATGGGCGAGTCGGAGAAGCTAGTGCGGGCACTGTTTGCGGTGGCGGCCCAGCGCCAGCCGTCCATCATCTTCATAGACGAGGTGCACACACACACACACACGCGCGCGCGCGCGCGCGCGCACACACACACACACACACACGCAGCTGCCACAGGTGCTGTGATGCATGCATACCCTAATACTAACGTCATGCTGGGACAAGGTTTAAGCATTGGCAGCATGGGATCACATCGAGCAGCAAGGGGTGAAATGGGGCAGCATGGGAGCCTTTGTTGTTGTGCTGCCTATTGTCTTCTCAGCTTGCCACCACTATCGAGCTGCCTCTGTTCTCCCAGCAGCTGTGTGCGACGTATGGGTTCACGCCCTTACGCCATCGCACCCCACTTCGCCACTTCCTTGCACCGCTGTGCCACGTGCCCTGTACCCTGTGTGCTGCGCTGCGCCATCAGATTGACAGTGTGTTGAGTGCGAGGGCGGCCAACGAGCATGAGGCGAGTCGGCGGCTCAAGACGGAGTTCCTGCTGCAGTTCGATGGCGTGCTCACTGCCCAATCCGACCATGTCGTTGTCATCGGTACCCTGCCATGCCATTCCATCTCCTGCCATGCCATATCCTGTCGTTCCATGCCCTGTCATGCCATCTGTTGCTGTGGTCTCGGCACTCATGCGCGCCAGTACAGCAGCCAAGCCATGCCCATCAGAAGCTTGGCAAACTGCAATGCACACAATGTGCTTTCTGCCTCCGCTCTCACGTCCTCTCATGGGCTGCTCATGCCTTTCCAGTCCTTCTTTGCCGTCTCATCTGTGCTCTTCTCTCCTCTCTCCCGCTGCCCTCACCTCTCTCTTCCCCCCACTGTCCCCTGCGGCCCATGAGCAGGAGCCACCAACCGCCCCCAGGAGCTGGATGAGGCCGTGCTGCGCCGACTGGTGCGTGCCTGCTGCCCTCTCCTACTGCTCCTGCTCGCCCCACTTCTTCTGCTTCTGTGCTGTGCTCCAATACACTTGCCCTGCACGCTGCCATTCACACGCAACCCAAGTCCCAGCTCATACACCACCCATGCACCCACTCCCGCCCCTGCTGCGCCTTCCCTTTCCCTGTGCACACGGCACCCATCCACCCCACTCAACTTTTGCTGAGCCATACCATTCTCCCTGTGTGTGCCCCTCTATCCACGCGCCTGCCATCCCCCAGGTGAAGCGCATCTTCATTCCTCTGCCCGATGCAGCAGCGCGCAGTGCACTCTTGCGCCACCTCACACGAGGCCGTGACTTCGCCCTCTCAGGTCACTGCCACCCCGCCCTGCCTGCTGCCCTGCCTGCTGCCCTGCCTGCTGCCCTGCCTGCTGCCATGCCTGCTGTCGTGCCTGCTGTCGTGCCTGCTGTCGTGCCTGCTGTCGTGCCTGCTGCCTTGCTTGGTGACATAGCTATTGACAAGCCTTTGCTTCATCTCAACCTTGTGCTTTTTCAAACAAGGCTTCAATCTCCAGAGCACTCGGGCACCTGTTTATCTTGTGCGCATTCTCGCACACAGTGCCATAATCTGATCTCCTCACTCTCTCCCACCCGCAGATGCTGACATGCAGCGCATCGTCTCTCTCACTCAAGGTGCGCCCTCCCTGGCTGCCACACCCTCATTGTCTGCATTCGCGCTTCTCACCCATCCCACCTCTCAATCCCTTTCCGTACACATACCCTTGCTGCCTCATCACCTCAGACCCACTGACCCATCCCGAATCCCTCACTATCTCTCTCCCGCTCCCTGCCATGTGCAGGGTACTCAGCGAGTGACCTGAAGGCGCTGTGCCAGGAGGCGGCCATGGGGCCCATCAGAGAGCTGGGAGGCCGGATAGCCACAGCCAGCGCTCATGAGGTAACCCTCTCACCGCCCTCCTCCCTTGCCTGCTGTGCTGCCTTGTCTCCTGCGCTCGTGCTGCGGTGCTCCCGGTAATTACTTGGTCTTTTTTGCTGCACGCTTCATGCTCCATGCCTCACTGTTGGGCCTTTCCTTGGCTGGCCTGCCCCCAACTGTCCAGGTGCGGGCGGTGCGGGCGAGTGACATGCACGCAGCGCTGTCTGTCATCCGTGCCACCTGCTCACCTGACCGCCTGGAAGCCATGCACCAGTGGTCTGTTGACTTTGGAGCTGCCCTTTGAACCTCTCTTTGAATCTCTGCCGCGTCGATACTGCATTGTGCTGCCATCTCCCTCTAAGATCCCTCCTGCATTTTACGTCCCGATTTTCAGCGAAGAGTGATCTTTCAGTGCCTTTTTCCTTGTATATTGTGTTTATATTTACAAGACTACTACTATAAAGCTTTACCGCGGCACAGTAGCAGGCAACCTGCAGCATACAGTGGTGTCCAGCAGTTGCAACTTCGATGTTCTGGTATGTATACCTGCCACCATCGAGCATAGCAAGCATTAATGCTGCTGTTGTGGCATGGCACGGCTTATCGTCCCCCCAAAATTCGACTATGAAAGGATTGCTGCACAATGAACTGTGAACTGGCAAATGCGCAGTATAAAATAAAGTGCTTGTTGCAATGAAAATTCTATTACGGTATACGGGAATGCAGACTACTACCCTTCCGAAACAAGGTAACAACAATATCCTTCATAGACATCCTAGGGTGTTTGAAAAGGCTAACTGTGCTTTAGAGTATATCACGAATAGAAAACCCATGATGCCATCCATATTAGCTTGGATTATCCTCTGGTATTAGCATTGTGACCCATTTACCCATCATACTGGTACTTGTGAATACATTTAATCAATATGACGTTCATATGTGTTTTCTTTCATTGTGCAACGCAACTGGAGATGCCAAAGGAATCAGCGCCCCCCCGCTCAATGACGTGCAGAATTGGCGCGCCAAGACATCAAAGATATGAAGGTTTCGTTTGTAGCTCACCACCACCCTTGCATCTTTGCCTCCGAAAATTACGTGGCACGAAGGCACACCAGCCGCACTTCCGCCTCGTTAAACCAAGTTGTGTCATTGGCCGTGGCAGCTCGAATCGGCTCACAGCGCCGCTTGGTTAGGTTTGGGGTTGCTGCCCTGGTTGGTGCGGCACTCGTCCGCGATTACCGCGCCGCAGAGGGGCTTGCCCCGAGCCTCCACCCTCCACAGGTTTCGCTCCCCAACCAGCCTCCGCCCAACCTCTTCTCAAGCGATATCGTCGCTCTCGCAGATTTTGAGGGCAAACCTCGAAGTTGTCGCTGCGATGCGATCCAAGCAGACTCCTTCACCTCCAACCCAGTCATGCACGCACAAGGACACTGCTCTCCTTAGCTTCTCATGTGCTTAGTCAGGCTCAACCTGTGTCTTAGGAAGGAGTCAGAGAGGTGGTACGGTTCTACGACGGTGTCCCGTAGTTAATCCTACTTGGTTGTTCCGTATTTAACTTGTACCTGTAGCTCCTGTAGGTGGGCATGGAGGGGGGCGGAGATGACTCCGTAAGTATGAGCTCAATGTCAGCCGATGACTCAGCAAGGAAGCCGAAGCTCCAGCATTCAGAAAGTGAGTTGGATGACTCGCGTCACGTCAGATAAGAACTCGTTTCTGATATGCACTTTCGCTCTTGTAAAAACAACAATCTCGCTGTTGTGTAAAACATACGACGAATGAACAAAGTAATTGTATTTTCGCTTCCTGGTGTAGCCTCGTATATAATGTGTCTCGTTGGGTCGCCCTTCTTCCCAGCCGATCAGGCCGCGCTCAGCCACCAAACTTTCAATCAAGCGCTAAAACATACCCAGCCGTATATTGCAAGAATCGTTTTGGTACACATGTCATTTCAAACTCCTTTCTTGATCGTGGCTCACAATCCGTGGAATTACGTGTTCCTCGTCCAAGTTATTGAGGATCGTAATGTCCTTGTGTTCTGGCTGTCAATAGAGGCCGATCGACGGAAGGTCAACCGCTACATGTCTCATGATTTCCCTTAAACCTATTGCAGGCAAGTCCGGCGCCGGACGCGGGCGTGGCAGAGATGCGGCAAGGGGACGCGGAGGAACGGCAAGCGGAGGTCGAGCGAGCACTACTGATGGTGGCAGGGGCCGCGGTGCCGACGGCAAAGGCAGGGGAGACGCCGTCGCTGGTCGCGGGAGAGGCGGTGAGGCTGCAGCCACGAGGGGCCGCGGAGCTGCTGCGGGAGGCCGCGAGGGCGCCAGAGGACGAGGCGCGGAAAGCGGACGAGGTCGGGGGGTTGCGACAGCAGGCCGAGACGGAGGTCGCGGCGGCAGAGGTGGCGAAGGAGGGAGGGGCAGAGGCTTAGACGGGGTGGGTGGCCGTTCCGTGGGGGCTCGAGGCAGAGGCGATGCCGCGCGGGGAAGGGGTTTATCCGGTAGAGGCCGCGGAGCTAGCGGACGCGGGGAAGGGCTTAGCAAGAGCAAGAGCCAGACGAAGGACGAGGAGCAAGGTGATAGATCTCCTGTGGCTACTCACGAAGAGGCTTCAGGAAGAGCATCTGGGGAAGACTCGCACGAGGTTGATAACACTTATAACTCCGATGTTCCAAAAGAGAACGAGGACGGAACCACAGCGAAGGAAGGAGATTATGATGGTGCAGAGGAGGGCGGAAAGGATCTAGCTGCCGAAGCTGCACACGATTATGAAACTCCAGGCGCATACACTGAAGCGGTGGATGAAACTGAGGAAGATGGCGCTGAAAGGGCTGCAGAGGAAGACGACGAACGGAAGGCTGCTGTTGTGGACGACGAAGCGACGGATGCCGAGGAGCAGACTGAAAGGAAAGCGGCAGAGGAGGACGATGCGATGAAGGCTGCAGTGGGGGAAGCTTCGATTATGGCTGCAGAGGGTGAAGCTTCGATTATGGCTGCAGAGGAGGAAGCTGCGATGAATGCTGCGGAGGAGGAAGTTGCGATGAAGGCTGCAGAGGAGGAAGCTGCAAGGCTGGCTGCAGCGGAGGAAGCTGCAAGGCTGGCTGCAGCGGAGGAAGCTGTAAGGAAGGCTGCAGAGGAGGAAGCTGCAAGGAAGGCTGCAGAGGAGGAAGCTGCAAGGAAGGCTGCAGAGGAGGAAGCAGCAAAGAAGGCTGCTGAGGAGGAGGCTGCAAGGCTGGCTGCTGAGGAGGAAGCTGCAAGGAATGCCGCAGAGGAGGAAGCTGCAAGGAAGGCCGCAGAGGAGAAAGCTGCAAGGAAGGCCGCAGAGGAGGAAGCTGCAAGGCTGGCTGCAGAGGAGGAAGCTGCAAGGAAGGCCGCAGAGGAGGAAGCTGCAAGGCTGGCTGCAGAGGAGGAAGCTGCAAGGCTGGCTGCAGAGGAGGAAGCTGCAAGGAAGGCCGCAGAGGAGGAAGCTGCAAGGAAGGCCGCAGAGGAGGAAGCTGCAAGGAAGGCCGCAGAGGAGGAAGCTGCACGGATGGCCGCAGAGGAGGAAGCGGCAAGGCTGGCTGCAGAGGAGGAAGCTGCAAGGAAGGCTGCAGAGGAGGGAGCTGCAAGGAAGGCTGCAGAGGAGGGAGCTGCAAGGAAGGCTGCTGAGGAGGAAGCTGCAAGGAAGGCTGCTGAGGAGGAAGCTGCAAGGAAGGCTGCTGAGGAGGAAGCTGCAAGGAAGGCTGCTGAGGAGGAAGCTGCAAGGAAGGCTGCAGAGGAGAAAGCTGCAAGGAAGGCTGCAGAGGAGGAAGCTGCAAGGAAGGCTGCAGAGGAGGAAGCTGCAAGGAAGGCTGCAGAAGAGGAAGCTGCAAGGAAGGCTGCCGAGGAGGAAGCTGCACGGAAGGCTGCCGAGGAGGAAGCTGCACGGAAGGCTGCCGAGGAGGAAGCTGCACGGAAGGCTGCCGAGGAGGAAGCTGCACGGAAGGCTGCTGAGGAGGAAGCTGCAAGGAAGGCTGCTGAGGAGGAAGCTGCAAGGAAGGCTGCTGAGGAGGAAGCTGCAAGGAAGGCTGCAGAGGAGGAAGCTGCAAGGAATGCTGCAGAGGAGGAAGCTGCAAGGAAGGCTGCAGAGGAGGAAGCTGCAAGGAAGGCTGCTGAGGAGGAAGCTGCACGGAAGGCTGCCGAGGAGGAAGCTGCAAGGAAGGCTGCTGAGGAGGAAGCTGCAACAAAGGCTGCTGAGGAGGAAGCTGCAACAAAGGCTGCTGAGGAGGAAGCTGCAACAAAGGCTGCTGAGGAGGAAGCTGCAAGGAAGGCTGCTGAGGAGGAAGCTGCAAGGAAGGCTGCTGAGGAGGAAGCTGCAAGGAAGGCTGCTGAGGAGGAAGCTGCAAGGAAGGCTGCTGAGGAGGAAGCTGCAAGGAAGGCTGCTGAGGAGGAAGCTGCAAGGAAGGCTGCCGAGGAGGAAGCTGCAAGGAAGGCTGCCGAGGAGGAAGCTGCAAGGAAGGCTGCAGAGGAGGAAGCTGCAAAGAAGGCTGCAGAGGAGGAAGCTGCAAGGCTGGCTGCAGAGGAGGAAGCTGCAAGGCTGGCTGCAGAGGAGGAAGCTGCAAGGAAGGCCGCAGAGGAGGAAGCTGCAAGGCTGGCTGCAGAGGAGGAAGCTGCAAGGCTGGCTGCTGAGGAGGAAGCTGCAAGGAAGGCTGCTGAGGAGGAAGCTGCAAGGAAGGCTGCTGAGGAGGAAGCTGCAAGGAAGGCTGCTGAGGAGGAAGCTGCAAGGAAGGCTGCTGAGGAGGAAGCTGCAAGGAAGGCTGCTGCGGAGGAAGCTGCAAGGAAGGCTGCTGAGGAGGAAGCTGCCAGGCTGGCTGCTGAGGAGGAAGCTGCAAGGAAGGCTGCTGAGGAGGAAGCTGCAAGGAAGGCTGCTGAGGAGGAAGCTGCAAGGAAGGCTGCTGAGGAGGAAGCTGCCAGGCTGGCTGCTGAGGAGGAAGCTGCAAGGAAGGCTGCTGAGGAGGAAGCTGCAAGGAAGGCTGCTGAGGAGGAAGCTGCAAGGAAGGCTGCTGAGGAGGAAGCTGCAAGGAAGGCTGCTGAGGAGGAAGCTGCAAGGAAGGCTGCTGAGGAGGAAGCTGCAAGGAAGGCTGCTGAGGAGGAAGCTGCAAGGAAGGCTGCTGAGGAGGAAGCTGCAAGGAAGGCTGCTGAGGAGGAAGCTGCAAGGAAGGCTGCTGAGGAGGAAGCTGCAAGGAAGGCTGCTGAGGAGGAAGCTGCAAGGAAGGCTGCTGAGGAGGAAGCTGCAAGGAAGGCTGCTGAGGAGGAAGCTGCAAGGAAGGCTGCTGAGGAGGAAGCTGCAAGGAAGGCTGCTGAGGAGGAAGCTGCAAGGAAGGCTGCTGAGGAGGAAGCTGCAAGGAAGGCTGCTGAGGAGGAAGCTGCAAGGAAGGCTGCTGAGGAGGAAGCTGCAAGGAAGGCTGCTGAGGAGGAAGCTGCAAGGAAGGCTGCTGAGGAGGAAGCTGCAAGGAAGGCTGCTGAGGAGGAAGCTGCAAGGAAGGCTGCTGAGGAGGAAGCTGCAAGGAAGGCTGCAGAGGAGGAAGCTGCAAGGAAGGCTGCAGAGGAGGAAGCTGCAAGGAAGGCCGCAGAGGAGGAAGCTGCAAGGAAGGCTGCTGAGGAGGAAGCTGCAAGGCTGGCTGCAGAGGAGGAAGCAGCACAATTGGCTGCAGAGGAAGAGGCTGCTAGGAAGGCTGCAGAAGAGGAAGTTGCAAGGAAGGCTGCAGAGGAGGAAGCTGCAAAAAAGGCTGCAGAGGAGGAAGCTGCAAAAAAGGCTGCAGAGGAGGAAGCTGCAAGGAAGGCCGCTGAAGAGGAAGCTGCAAGAAAGGGTGCTGATGTGGAAGCTGTTAAGAAGGTTGCTGAGGACGAAGCTGCCAGACTGGCTGCAGAGGAGGAAGTGGCAAGGAAGGCTCTAGAATCAGAGGCTGAGAGGAACATTGCAGAGGACGATGCAGCAAAAGATATAGGGGAGGAAGTCAAGGCTGCTGAACAGGAACCAGCAATCAAGCTTTCAGAGCAGGATGCTACGAAAGGTGTTGAGGGTGCCACTTCTACTGAATCTGCAACAAGTGCAGATGCTGTAACTGATGTGCCTGCTTCTGAGCCTGCTGCTGCTGCTGCTGCTGCTTCTGACCCTGCTGCTGCTGCTGCTTCTGAGCCTGCTGCTGCTGCTGCTGAGCCTGCTGCCGCTGCTGCTTCTGAGCCTGCTGCTGCTGCTGCTTCTGAGCCTGCTGCTGCTACTGCTGTTGCTTCTGAGCTTGCTGCTGCTGCTTCTGAGCTTGCTGCTGCAGCTTCTGAGTCTGCCACTCCTGCTGCTTCTGAGCCTGCTGCTGATGTTGCTGCTGTTCCTGCCTTTGCTGAGCCGGCTTCTGATCCTGCTGTTGCTGCTTCTGATCCTTCTGTTGCTGCTTCTGAGACTGTTGCTGCCACCACTGCTGCTTTGGAGCCTGCTGCTGATACAGCTGCTGCTCCTGCAGTTGCTGAGACTATTGCTGCTATTGCTGGTGCTTCAGCTGTTGCTTCTGAGTCAGTTGGACCATCTGCTGCTCCATCTGGTGATGCTGTGGCGCCTGCAGCCCCAGCCGAGAAGGCCCCTTCCCCTCCAGCCATGACACCACCTCAGCCAGTGGTGGCATCTGCAGATGCCCCACCAGTCTCTGCACCACCAGCTGCTACAGGAAAAGCTGCTCCGGCTGCTACACCTGCCCCGCCTCCCAAGAAGGGGGGTGGTCTGTTCGCTTGCTGCTTTGGTGGGAGTTAGGTGGCTTAACTTATGATTGGTCACTCAGTTGCTCTTGTCCGCCATATCTGAAGGTTAGACTAGTAGCGTATGTCGCCTTTTGTTGGGAATGGCCATTGACTTTCTGAGATGCTTTAACATGTAATAGCATTGTTTCTTTTCCTGTATAAGCCTTTGTATATCATCAGTCTGCATGCAGATAACATTATATGGAAACAGGATCCCTCACACAAATGCGTTCTCCTTTGTCGAGTCGAGTTCAGTTTTTGCCACGGTACCGCCTGGCAGTTGTGGCGTGGCGTGGCAACCGTCATTTCCCCAAATGGCCACGTCAACTCCACTCCCAGCAGGTTGGTCATCAATTCGCTCTTCCGCGAGTCGGACGACTGACCAACCACCCCTACCAGTGCGCCTCTGCTGCTGCTCCCATGCGGGTGACACTGCCTGCCACCAGCGAATTGGTCCTTCGACAACATCGAGGGTCGAAATCAAACTCCACTGATGAGAGGGACCTGACCAGCAACCGGCCATTCTCATTCACTCAACCCAACCGCCCTGCACTGCTCTCCTGCTTCCTTTCTATCAGTCGATTCCATCCGCAATTCTCGCCTCCCACACTCTGCACGCTCCACAAACACCGCGCGTCGCGTATCTTCCGCGCTAGTTGTCACGAACTTCCCCGTGGCGCGCTGCGCACGCCCCTCGACTCGCACAGTGCCCCGCAAGATGCTAGCGAGAACAGCTGCGCGGATTGGGCGGAACGCGCGAGCGGCGCATGTTGGAGGGAACCTGTTTGGGCGTTCGTTACCAGATGTAGGGCGGAAACGAGAAGGCGCACAGATTGAATTTTTGGCCCTCCGCATCCTCTGCGGCCCGTTATCCCCGCGCTTTCCCGCACCTCCTGTTCCGCCAGTGCTGCTCGTCCCATGGAGCCGCGATCTCTCCGCGCAACTTCTCCGCGGGCTGCTCCGCCAGTCGCCTCTTCTCACCTCCGCCGCAATACTCTCTTCCCTTCCACCCCACCCCCACCCTCCCGCTCTTCCCCCAACCGCACAGGTTCCCGTCATGGCCGCAGCAGGCGGGTGGCAGGCGGAAGTGGCGTCGAGCGCGGGGGCAGCGCGCGGAGGTAGCAGCGCGGGGTTCTCGTCCGCAGCGGTGGGCGGAGGGTCGGCACTGCTGGATGACACGGCCGTGCAGGTGCGAGCATGATGAGGGCTGTTGGCGACGATGGGAGCCTGTTGATGACAGTACGATAGGGTTCTCTAGAGTCACGCCACCAGGTGGTGCTACGTGTTGACCAGGCTGTATGCCCTTGCTGCTCCTCCCCGTGCTCCCCTTGCCGCTTTTTTGTTTTTTTCACAGCCTTCCAAGTTACCACCGCCTCCTGCTGCTCTCTGCGCCCTCTGCGTTGCTGCTTGTGTGTCGGGTGGGCTGTCATGGGCATGGGGATGGCATGGTGGGAGAGGGGGCGTGGGTGGCATGATGGGAGGGGGAGTGTGTGAGTGCATGGGTGGGTGGGCAGTTCAAGGAGAGCGTGCACAAGTTCGCACAGGAGGTCATCGCACCACACGCTGCTGACATTGACCGAACCAACTCCTTCCCCAAGGTACCTTTCCCCAAGTACCTGTCCTCACACTCGCCCTCTACGCCACCACACGTGCTACCCAATGTTCTGTCTATACTTGGGCATGCAGTACGTTCTCCAGACTGACACTCTTTATCTTGCTCCGCATCTCCCTTCTCCCCTCTCTCTCTCCCGCTCTCTTTCCCCAGTCCCCCCCCCTACTCTCTCGTGCACCATGCTCCATGTGCCTTTTAAGGCCCTCCCTCCGCGTTCCTTTCAGCAGCCACGTTTCTTCTCCGTCTTTATTCCGCCCTTTTCCCCTCCCCCCCTCCCCTTTCCCTCCCCCTTCCCCCCTCCTCCTCCTCGGCAGAATGTGAATCTGTGGAGGCGAATGGGTGACTTTCATCTGCATGGCATCACCGTGCCCGGTCAGTGCTGCTCGCCTGCATGCCGTCCCCTTCCTTGCATGCCATCCCCTTCCTTGCATGCCATCCCCTTCCTTGCATGCCATCTCCTTCCTTGCATGCCATCCCCTTCCTTGCATGCCATCCCCTTCCTTGCATGCCGTCCCCTGCAGTGCCGTGCCATTCCCTGCAGTGCCGTGCCATTCCCTGCTGTGCATGCCATGCCATCTCTTGCCGCACCATGCCATTCCAGGCCACGCCACATCACGCCATTCTCTGCCATGCCACCCCCCCCCCCATTTCCATGCCCTTTCTCCCTCTCACAATCCACACATGTGCTCATCCCCCCCCACACAGCCCCCGCACTCATGCACGCGTGTGCGCGCACAGAGCAGGAGGGCAGCATGGGGCTGGGGTACCTGTACCACTGCGCAGCCATGGAGGAGATCACTTTTGAGTCGACTCAAAAGACACCCACACTTCTGCCTGTTCCCGTGCGACCCCCACCCCAACCCACGCGTGGGCGAGCAGAGCAGGAGGGCGGCATGGGGCTGGGGTACCTGTACCACTGCGTGGCCATGGAGGAGATCTCGCGTGCTTCAGGCGCCGTGGGGCTCTCCTATGGCGCGCATTCCAACCTCTGCATCAACCAACTCGTGCGTGCCATGCATGCTGCCCTGCTGCCCTGCTGCCGTGCTGCCATGCTGCCGTGCTGCCATGCTGCCATGCTGCCATGCTACCATGCTGCCATCCTTGCTGCCCCTCGTTTCCTCTTGCAGTATCGTCTCCTCCTCAGCGCCCTTTGCTGCTGCCTCTTTCTCATTTCCTTCACCTCTCCAGCTGAGTTCTGCCTGCACCGCTTTGTTGCAGCTTGCATCAACTGCTCCTTGGCTTACTATTGCCTCTGTGGGGTGGGGCACAGGTGCGGCATGGCAATGAGGAGCAGAAGGCCAAGTACTTGCCCAAGGTGAGATGCTCGCATGGCACACAGATGCACACATCGGCCACATGGACACGTACATGCATGCGCACGCACACGCTCATGCAACCACACACACATGTTCGTCCACACACACGACTATGCTGTAGGCTCACTCTTTTTCCCCCACCCATCCACCTCTCTGTCCTTCTTTTCCCTCCCTTCCCCTCCCCTCCTTCAACCCCACCTGCACCGCTCATCTCCCTCTCATCCGTTACCCGATCAACCCCACCCCATGCATGCAGCTGGTAGCGGGCGAGCATGTGGGCGCACTCGCCATGAGCGAGCCCAACTGTGAGGGGGAGGGGAAAGATGGGGAAGAGGGGGAAGAGGGGACGAGGGGAAAGGCGGTTAGGAAGAGCGGGAGTGGGAGGGGGGTTGTGTGGTGACGGGGAGGGGGATGATTCATTAAGAGGGAGATCATGCATGGGCACTGCAGTGCTCATGTGCTGCTTTCATGCACCAGCTTTGCTCGTAGCACCACATCCACGGTCCAATACCACCTTGCTCCCGCATCCCCTCCTCCCACGTCTTTCCGCGCTCATAGAACCCCCGCACATCACGGCATTGTCCATCCGCTCTCTCGCTCCCATTCTCCTGCGGCCTGTGGTGCCCGTGTACTCTCCCCCCTCCTCCAGCGGGGTCGGACGTGGTGAGCATGCGGTGTCGAGCGGAGAGGGCGCAGGGGGGCTACGTGCTGAACGGCACCAAGATGTGGTGCACCAACGGACCCACCGCTAACACGCTTGTGAGCTGCCCGCCCATCCCATGCCATGCAGTGTACTGTGTACTGTGTCTTGCCTTGCCATGCGATGCCACTCCATGCCATGCCATGCTGTGCCGTACTGTGCCATGCTGTGCTGCGTCGTGCTGTGCTATGCGCCTTTAGCCAGTTCCCCCGCTCACGCCATCGCGAATCTCCCTGTCGGTGCTACACGTGCCCCATGAGTTGAATCCCATGCATGGCATGTCATGACGTGCCATGGGGGGCAGGTAGTGTACGCCAAGACGGACATCAAGGCGGGGCCCAAGGGCATCACAGCCTTCATTATCGAACAGGGCATGGACGGGTGAGGCATGGACGGGTGAGGCATGGACGGGTGAGGCATGGACGGGTGAGGCGTGGACGGGTGAGGCGTGGACGGGTGAGGCATGGACGGGTGAGGCGTGCAGGGGTGAGGCGTGCAGGGGTGCAAGGGATGGTAGGAGTGAGAGGTACAGGGGTAGGAAGAGCACACGCGGAAGGAGTGGGCTCATGCTTTACCATCCCTGTGCCTGCCATGGCAGGTTCCGAACGGCTCAGAAACTGGATAAGCTGGGCATGCGAGGCAGTGACACGTGAGTCCCCCTTTCCCTTCCCCACTCCCCTCTCCCTCTCGTTCTCACCCTCACTCTCGCCCCCTTCTCTCTTCTTTCCATCATTGCTTCTTTGCTTGCCACACACCACCTGGTCGCACCTCTTTCATCGCCTCGCCTTTCCCTACCTGCTGCCTCAATCCTTTCTACTGAGCTCCACCTATAACCACGTCGTCCTTTGCATCCGACCCTTCCCACACCCCCTGCCCTACCCGCTGCCGTGCGTGTGTGTGGCACGGGCATGATCAGGTGCGAGCTGGTGTTTGAGGACTGCTTCGTGCCGCTCGACAACGTGCTGGGAGAGGAGGGCCGAGGTGCGCATGCTGCTGCTGCTGCTGCGCTGTACTGTGCTCTGCCGCATGCCATGTGCTGTATGCAATGTGCGCACTGCACCATTCGTATGCTCCCACATGACCCCTCCCCTCATGCCCCCCTGCACTGCACCCACACCCTCTCACCTCCCTCCCACACCACTGCATCCTCTTCTCCCACCCCCACTTCCTTCTCCCTATCCTCCCACATTCCTCACATTCCTTCCCTCCTCCCCCACCCCTCTCTCCCCTCGCCCCATCCCCACCAGGAGTGCAAGTGCTGATGTCGGGGTTGGACCTGGAGCGGGTGGTGCTGGCAGCGGGGCCACTGGGGCTCATGGCGGCGGCCATGGACGTGGTGCTGCCGTACGTGCACCAGCGCCAACAGTTCGGACAACCCATCGGCCAATTTCAACTCATCCAGGTGCCCCCATGCTCACATGCTGCCGTGCTCACATGCTGCCAAGCTGCCATGCTCCCCTTCTCACATGCTCCTGTGCTGCCATGCTTTTGCATGCTGGTGCTGCTGGCATGCTGAATGGTCTCCCATCACTTTCAATCGCCTGCCATGGAATTGCATGTGCGCTCACGGGTCCTGCTCCCATGTGCCGCCACTCACAACTTCACACCCCCCAACACCCCATGCGCCTCATCTCCCTCTGGCCCGTCCCATCGACCCTCTCATCACCCCTCTCAACCCAGGGCAAGCTCGCAGACATGTACTGTGCTGTGCAGGCCTCAAGGTCAGTTGCTCCTTGCCCACACTGCGCTCTCTGCCCACTGCCCTTGCACATGTTCCCTGCCACCCCAGTTATCGCCCATTCTCATGTTATGCTCTCGCTCTTGCGTTAGGGCAAGCCCTTGCTCAGCCAGAGCACACGGCTTCCCCAGCTCCACTCCACTCCACCAATAGAAGCTTCTTGGACTAACGACTACCCAACCACCGTGGCCTTCCCTGTGCCCCGCCACTGCCCTGCTCTCCCCTTCCACGCGTCCTCCCGCATGCCCTCCCATGTGTGTGGGTGCTGCAGGGCGCTGGTGTACAGTGCTGCCATGGCATGTGACCGCGGCCATGTCAATCGTAAGGTGTGCCTCTCTGCCTTGTGCCTCTACATGCATGGCCAGCAGCCTTTGCTCTGGTCTCATCTCCTTGTTCGCGTAGACAGTGCTGCGGGGTGCGATGCTTTGCAATCCCACCCACCTCTTCCTTTAGCTTACTCACTCCTCCCCACCCCTCTCTCCCTCCCCCCTCCCCTACAACTGCAGGATTGTGCGGCAGCCATTCTATTTGCTGCGGAGAATGCCACGCAGGTCGCCTTGCAGGTACCGCCCGCTTCTCCTCTCCATGCCACACGCTCTCTCCACTCCCCTCCCACGTCCCCTGTGCCCCACACACTCTCCTCATCACCCCCTCACATAGCACCCACAACTTTCCTCCAAATCACTGCACCACTCCCCGCACTCCCCCCTATCTCTACACCCTCACCTCACAAGCCACCCTCCCTCCACCTCTTCCCCCCACACACACACCCCCTCAACAACACGTTCCTGCTACCTCTCCCCCCACCCTCGCCCAAACCACAGGCCATCCAGTGTCTGGGCGGCAACGGGTATGTGAACGAGTACCCAACAGGGCGCCTGCTGCGCGACGCCAAGCTCTATGAGATCGGGGCGGGCACCAGTGAGATTCGCCGCATGCTCATTGGTCGCGAGCTCTTCCGCGAGACCGAGTGAATCTTGACGCTATTGTGATGACGGCACGATTTATTGTAGTACGGTACAAAATTGAGATGGCGGTGGCAGTGCGCAGTGCATCGCAGTTCTCGCTGGGACAACTGCCGCTGTGCCTGTTGACTTTTGAGTCGACTCAAAAGTCGTTTGCTGGGACAACTGCTGCCATGCCTGCGCATACGCTGTCACAGATGTTTGCAGTGACTATCTTCCCTTTCCCCCTGTTCCCTTCATTGTATATAGCTTGAGACTGGCTATGTATATTGTAATTGATTCTCCTTGTTCGAGCGGTGAAAAAGAGTGTGTAACCCGTTCTGGTGTGAGACTGTGAGTGATCCATCCATGGTGACTTATTCCTGGTGCAAGTAGATACTGCATCTGACTTAGGTAGATAGGTACTACTAATTACATTCCTAGTGCCTTCTTCCTGAGCAGGAAGTGAAACCAAACATCACTCATTCCTGAGAATTTGCAATCCCGGAATTTGCATTGGCGGACAGGCGCTCTACGGCTGACTGCGTGGTGGGCAATGAACCAGTGTGCTCATACTAATCCACCTCATCTGCTTCAACTAAAAACAACACGCTCCCTGCGTAAAGTATGTCAACTTCCACATGCCCTTTTTCCGATGGCACCCTTCACACTGCAGGCCGCAGGTGTCATGCCATATTGCAGCCATTGCTCACCACCCCCCTTCCCGCACCAACGCTGCGCATGGGTTCTTCTGTTAGATGCTCCACACGTGTACCGTAATTACAGCACACCACCACACTGCACTGGCGATGGTTCACAGCGCCAGGCTGAATCCACTCAGCAGCATCACTGGTGCTTGCTCACTGCTTGCGCTACCTCCCCTTGCGCCTGCTCCGCAGCACTGCCTTCCCCCTGCCCCTCTGTGTGCACGCGCACATAGCCCACCGGGGGACACCGCAGATACGTCACTGCCGCCTTGCTGTTGCCCAGGAACACCCGCGCCTGGGGGAATGAGAGAGAGAGGGGAGGGGCGGAGAGAGAGCGGGGAGAGAGGGGAGAAGAGAGGGGGAGGGCAGAGTGGAAGGGATGGATGGAGGGAGGTGAGGGAGAGGAAAAGAGTGAGGGAGGGAGGGGGGAAATGGGAGGAATATAGAGACCATAATATGCATGGCTTAAATGCGGCAGTGTGGTAGGTAGCACGTGAGGCGAACATGAACATGGGCACAGGCATGGGCACTGGCGTGGGCATGGGCATGGGCATGGGCATGGGCATGGCATGTGGCATGACCTGGTCAACAGCATCCTGTATGGTGTCCGCCATCTCCCAGCGCAGCACTGCTGGCCCCCGCGGGTCCTTCGCACCCACTACGTACACCTTGCCCACCTGCCCCGGGGACGGAATGGGGCAACGGTAAGAGAGGAAGGGGGAACAGAGAGGGGGATGGAGATGGGATCGTAAGAGACAGCTCAAGCAGGAGAAGCGTAATGCCAGCAGGAACAAAAGCAGGGACCCATATGCCACAAAAGAAGCGCATGTTATAAGCCACACGCCCATGCTCCATACCCACACGCCTGACACCCCACAGCGTGCACACCTTATCCATGCCATGGGCGGCCCACGTGTACATGTAAGACCCATGCACGAGACCCATACGCCACAAAAGCAGTGCATGTTACAAGCCATACGCCCATGCTCCATACCCAAACGCCTGACCCACGTACGAGACCCATACGCCCAATACCCCATACCCTCCTACGCCACACCCCACAGCGTGCACACCTTATCCATGCCATGAGCGGCCCACGTGTACATATAAAACCCGTGCACGGCAGCGGGCCCCTGGCCCCGGCGGTAGATGTCGTTGAGCTGTTGGTCCTCCACGAACTGCTGCTGGAAGCGCTCAAACTCGTCCAGCCCTGGCGCCACTGCCAGCACCTCCTCAAAGAGGCGCCGATATGCGTCGTGTGCGGGGGAGGACCACTCGTAGTGCATGTTGTTCACCACTATCTGTGGACCAGTGGTGGGGTGGGGTGGGATGGGGTGGGATGGGGTGGGATGGGGTGGGGTGGGATGGAATAAGGTGCCACGGCTTGGATGTGTGCGGCGAGAGGGCGGGTGTAGGGAGAGGAGGGCAGTCGTGCATGGGTGTAGTGATGACGGGTGGATGGTGGACAGTGGGTGTGTGCACAGTCAATCAAATATGCATGGCATGGCATGGCATGGCATGGCATGGCATGGCACGCATTCACATGTCGGTGAATAGATTGTGCTTTGATGGCATGGCATGGCACTGAACGGCAGGGCATAACATGGCATGGCACTGAACGGCAGGGCATAATATGGCATGGCACTGAACGGCAGGGCATGGCATGGTATGGCATGGTCTCTCACCACACAGCCGCCCTCCTTGAGTAGAGGCACCCCATCCACATACCTGGGGGAAGGGGGGAGGGAAAGGGGGTGACGAGATCGAGAGGGAAGGAAGGGCGAAAAGCAAAAATGGAGGGATTTCTGTGAGACAGCCAGCATTGAGTTTGTGTGAAGTAGCATCACACGCAATACCTGTGAACAGGCATAGGGGCATGCAGTCCAGTTGAGGAAAGGTGTGAGCAGAGGCGACTCACATGTTATAATAGTAGCCCAGTGCATATGTGTTCACCTGCATGCACCCATGCGGCACGGGGGACAGTTAGTGTGGAAGGGCTGAGAAGAGCATGCCTGGGGAGGAATGATGATGGGTGCAGCACACAGCATGCTCATAGGTAGCTAGCAACACATGGCAGGGGAAACAAGTGGCCAATGGTTTTGCCTCAACATCACACACGAGCGCATGGCAGGGGGAGCAAGTGCAGTTTCCCATCCATCCACAGTACCTTTCATCCTATGAGAGGGACCATCGCAAAGCAGAGCGCATCAGAACAGCATAGCACAGCGTGGGGCATTTTAGTTTAGTAATGAGAGTGTGGTGCGGAGCAGTGCAGTGCAGTACAGTGCAGTGCAGAGCGGGAGGGAGCGGCATACGCACGAGCAGGGGGTTGAGGTACATGTCCTTGGTGTAGGGCCCCAGCGCACTGGGCGCCAGGATGAGAATGTCCGCCTGCGGGCAACAGGGGATGGGTGGGGTTGGGATATGTGGGACATGCGTGGGATGCGTCCAGTCCAGGGTAGCTACAGTGGTGGGAATATGACAGGGTCAAGCGAAGGTGATGGGGAAGGGGCAAGGGGAAAGGGGGAAGGGGCAAGGGGAAAGGGGAGAGGAGTAACTTGGTTGAGAGGAAACGAAGCAAGGTTCATGATAGCGCATGTGCTCTGACCTCACCTGGCCATCAATGTCCATGACCTTGTCGCGGTAGATGGCTGCCAGTGTCCTCTCATGCACCGCCTGAGTCTCCCCTGCTGTCACCTGCACATCAATGCACCACACCGCGCCGCACCGCACTGCACAAATCAGCATAGGCGTCGCAGAGCAGCATTGGGCTCGCCACCACCCCCCCACTGCTCGCCAGCGAAATAATTCAAACGCTTTGCACAATGGAAGCCACGTTTCAAGACAAGGAGTGTGTGAGGTCAACCACTGCTGCTTCAAACGGAATAGTTTTCTAGATTCTAAAAATAACCAGTACCAGCATAGCTGGCCTTGTCCACCTGGCGTACCTGCAGCAGGCCAAAGGGCCCTCGCATGAACCAGAGGACCTTCACACACAGCCACAGCGGCAGCAGCTGGTGAACAGCGGGAGAGAGAGAGAGCGAGAGACGGAGGACGGGAGGAAGGGGCAGTGGGTGAGGAGACAAGAACACAAAGTAAGCAACAAGAAGGGACTCAGGCTAGGGAGAAGTGAGCTGTCTCTCACCTTGCTCACCTTGCTCACCTTGCTCACCTTGCTCACCTTGCTGACCTTGCTCACCCATGCTTACCCGTCTCTGCATCCTCGGCCCTGGCCACACATCCCTACCCCTCCCCCGCGCGCACCTTGAAGAGAATGAGCGTGGAGTGCATGAGGAGCTTCTGCAGCGGGTTCATGTTGCGCACTAGCTCGGGCACAAAGTCCGCGTAGAAGGGGAAGAGCTGGGGGGGGGGGGAAAGAGAAGGGGGAAGAGGGAGGGTGGGAGTGGGGGAATGGGGAAGGGGGGGGGTTGTCAACTCAAATTTTGGTTCATGTTGCTCACTAGCTCGGGTACAAAGTCCGCGTAGAATGGGAAGAGCTGCAGGAGGGGGGTGGAAGAGGCACGGTGGGAATGGAAAGACTCTTCAGTCGACTCGATAATGTTCATATTGCGCACTAGCTCGGGCACAAAGCCCGCGTACAAGGGAAACAGCTGCACGGGGGAGGGAAAAGAGGCATAGGGGGAGTGGGAGGGGTGTCAGGTAGAGAGGCTGAGGGGTGTCGGGGCAGACCTGCCCGCCCGGCGCAAAGCTTGCGTAGAAGGGGAGCAGCTGGCCAGGGAGGGAGGGTGGGAGTGGGGAGGGGGACTGAGGTGTGGAAAGGGGCAGAAGGGGGTGGGAGACTCTGAATGGGCAGACGTACTCGCAGGAAGGAGTGGTGCATGGGACATTGTGCATGGTGCAGGCAGGAGGAGCACATACCAGGGCAGTGATTACAAGCTCGAGAGGGCATGCGGCCGTGCTGGCATGATTTTGGAGTCGACTAAAAAATCGTCTCATCAGATGAGGAGACACACACCTGGTCATCGATCACAGTTTCAACATGGAAGACATCGGTGTGCTTCTGCATCATGCGCCCGATGCGGTGGAACGACTTGTGCAGCGCACTCCGCGTCGGGTCAAACAGCGACCTGCACACAGCACACAGCAGGTCAGCAGCAGCAGCATGCGAGCCGGGGGCACCTGGGGTGCTATATGCGGCAGGAGAGCCTCAAGGCACGGGAAAGCAATAGGGTAAAACTGGAGCAACAATGCTCATCTTCCCTAATGGTCCGTGAGGCACGAATTGCACTTGTTTCAGGTTTGATGTACGTTGAGGGGTTCATGGGTGTGGATGTTGAGCGGTGTAAACTCAAATGAGATCCCTTGCCCCCCGCTCAGCTCATGGCATGCCTGGTGTTGCGCAGTGTCTTGGAGTCATGGTTGTGCTGCAGACAGTTGTAATGCACCTGCATGCATGCACATGCACATGCACGCATGCACAGTTAATAGCACATGCACATGCACACATACACAGACGAGAGCAAGGAAACCACGTGACCATCCACACGCACAAACAAGCGACGCAGCGCAGCGCATACACCAATGCACAATGTCACCATCACGGGCGCATCTGTGGCAAGGCGCATCTGTGGCAAGGCGCATCTGTGGCTAGGCGCATCTGTGGCAAGGCGCATCCGCCAACCCACAGCACCCCTTCCTACCACACCCTTCACTGCCCTCCCCCTCTCCCACTCTCCCTCTCCTCCCTCCACCTCCCACTCGCCCTGTCTCTCCAGCGCCCATCTCAGCAGCCCAGCTGTGAGCGCAGCAGCGCAGCAAGAGCTCTCACCAGGCCAGTGGCATATGACTTGTACCCGCCGTCCATGCTCACGTAGTTCACATTCGCGTACACCACCAGATCCGCCTCCGCATAGTGCCGGTTGATCTGCCGTGCCATGCCATGCCGTGCCACAGCACGCAACAGGGGTGGGGCTGAGGAGAAGAGCATGGGCCACAGCAGAGCATACCAATCATAAAAACGATGTAGAAACCGCTGCAGTAACAAAAACTCAAACCCCTTACCCCTCAGCACCCCTACTCCACCTCTCCCACCTCCCCTCCTACTCCTTCCCTCACCTGAACAGCCTCCCCGTGGCGCGTAACACCAATATCCACAGTCTCGTCCATATCAACCGCATTGTAGTTCCCCATGCTCTCCCACTTCCCCCACCCCATCCCCCCCAACCCCATCCCCCCCATTCCCCCCAACCCCATCCCCCCCATTCCCCCCCTTCCCCCCTCTCCCCTCACCTGCACGGCCTCCCCGTGGCGCGTGACACCAATATCCACAGTCTCGTCCATATCAACCGCATTGTAATTCCCCATGCGCTGCGGGTAGTACTTTCCGTACAGGTACCCTCCGCAGATGTGCCTGAACTCGTCGGCGCGGATGTAGCGGTGCAGAGCGATGGAGCACACGAAGCGGATATCCGTGATGCCCGCTGCCACGCAGTCGCGCTCTGCCTCTTCCATGATCAGCTGTCGCACGTCCGGGCGGCGCATGGGCGGCAGCGGCACGCTCACGTCGTCAAACGCTATCAGGATCTGTTTTTTGAGGGGGTAGATGTGGGGTTGATTCGTGAGAGAGGGAGGAAGGGGGGTGGGTGGGGGACGATTGAGACGTGGCGTGGTGCATGCGTGGCAAGAGCGTGAGAGCAGGGAAGGAGTGGGATGATTTAGATCTGAAGGAAGAGCTCAAAAGGGCGAGGGGCGAGGGCGAGGGGCGAGCGAGATGGAGAAGGGAGAACAGGTTAATGATTGTAATAGGAGCGGACGGGCACATCACACAATGAATGGCACAACGTAGAAACGGCACTGTTTATACCGGTCAGCCAGAAAAAGGAGTGGGAAAGAGAGAGGCGGTTGCAATAGTAACAGCGCAGCAAGAGCAGCAGCGCACCTTGGGGTTGGGGTTAGCCTGTTTGATCTGCTGCAGTCGCTCTTTGAGCGGCGGCTGCCCCACAGGATTATCCAGCGCATGCCGTACCATGGCTCGCATCTGTTGTGTGCCCAGTCCAGTGTGTCCAGCATTTACACATGGCCGTGCATGCACGTGTGTGCGTGGCACGGAGAGAGAATGGGGAAGGGGGGGGGAGGGCGAGGAGTTGGAAGTGTAAGAAAGGAGAAGAGAGAATGGGCGGCGAAGGAAGAGGCAGGATGGGCGGGAAGCAAGCACGTGGCTGGAAGTGACACGAGAGAATTTGACGTGTGGCAGGTGGATAGAGGCCCATCCGGACATGGAACGTGGGCCGGGCAAGTGCATTGGGGAAGGACTGTGAGGGATGGGTGCACAATGTATGCTGTGTGTGAGTGGGTGAACGAAAGGGAGGGAGTGCAGTGCAGTGTGTGTGTGGGGGGTGATACTGGCCTTGTTGGGGTTGGATTCGCCGTCCTTGCACAGCCCAGGGTACACCACTCTTGTACCCTCGGGTAACTCCAGCAGCTCCATCCGCTTGCCCGCTTGAAACAAAAACTTCTCACCCTGCATGTCACATCATGCCATGCCAATCCATGCCGTGCCACGTCATGCCATGCCAACCCATGCCGTGCCACGCCATGCCATGCCATACCACGTGGCATGCACCATCACACGGCCCGAGAAGGCAATGCATAGCAGGCGGCAGCAGAACACGGTGTTTGGTCAACATAGAAGCGAGAGGGAGGCAAGCAGCACTGGCACACAACATCGTTTGGTTGACAACATTGGCTCAGAAGCAAGCACTGGTGCATCCAATCCACGGGCGAGGAAGGCGCAAACGGGCCGGTGCGGCCCTGCATGCACTGCACTTATACGTCCGCCTTACCTCTTCACCCCGTTCACCTCGCCTCACTGCTCACCCTCACCATCCCACCACCTCCTCCCTCCGCATCCCACTCACCTCCTGCGTTATCCCCGTTAAAAGGCCCGCGGCGCACCTTCTTGGCGTAAAAAACTTGTCGGGGCCGCTTGTGCGTCCCTGCCGTGTCCACCCAATCAGCAGGCACCACGTCACCGCTCTCCGCTGCATGGCATGCGACGCTCTTCCGCCTGTCCGCCTGCCCATCGCCCCTCCATGCCGCCCGCGCGCACCCGCGTGGAGCGGAACAGTTTCCGCAGGGCGGAGAATGTGCGCGCTGTAGGAGGACGGGGAGGCGCCTGGCGGAGGCCACGCGGAAACATTGGCGCAGGTATAGGATGACGTGGATTGACATGCAAGAACTGCGAGAATGAACGGAGGGCTGTGACAGTAATACACGCACTTTAGTGATGTGGCGAGATGAGGTGGCAAGCCGCATTTCACGCTGGTGCTGCGAGTCACGAGAGGCTTGTCGCCACGTCAGCTCCCCTTGCCCTATACCAACACGCGACGCCGTGACAGCGTGAATCGCGGGCGATGGTGCGTGCCCAATGGCAGGCCAGTGCGGGCTCCGGAAGTTACCAGGCGCGGAACGGTCTTCAGCGGAAGGCAGAGCCTAGGAGGGGGGAGTCGCAGAAACGCGAAAGTCGCGAGCACTGGCGCGTGGGTTCGTCCGCGAAAGCTGTTCAGAAAGATCGAGATCGTGATGAGGAGCCCTTAGGAGAATATTTTTGGGGTAGGGGAGAGGAGGTATACACAGGCGATGAGGGAAATGGCGGCTGGATGGATGCTGAACATGGGAGGCGGGATCTTGGGGAGGGGGAACACATGCAGCGGAGGAATGGCTGACGTGGCAATTCGCACTTTACGGGGATATTTTCGTTCTTTCAGTGAGATAGTTGTTCCACACGGCTGTTCTACAAGAATTGATAACACGCTACATGCCGTTTATTATTATATACAAAGAAATCTCAAGTCAAATCTTCCTTTATGCACAACATAGAATTCATCTAGCATTTCAATCCGAAGGTTGCTGGGCATCTTGCGATACTTGCAAATCAATCTTCTCTATACTATCCACACGGGTGTTGCAGCCTGGGCAACGGAAGGCACGATGAATAGACATGCGTGTGTGAATACAGTAATAGCAAAACACGTGGGCACATGGTTGCGCACGATATGGCATGAGGATGGGCTGTGCAGAGCATACAGGGCACCCATCGCCAGCGGTAGGGGACGATGACGACGGGAGGCGGAAAAGGGAGGAAAAGGTTTGCTTGATTGCCGACACGCTGATCAGGGGAAGCACCAGCAGCAGCAACTCCTGCGAAAACAGACGGCACAAATGGCAGAGAATCATCAGTGGCCGGCAGAGATCATACAGAATCTATCGAGCACGAGATAACTCCGAGAGAAGAGAGGATAAGCAGGCCGTGTGGGTGGAAGGGGAGGGAGGGATGTGACGTAAGGGTGACTGACCGAGAACTCATTCCACACGAGCTGGCGGTTCATGTACTCAAAGCTGACAGCGCGCGCCATGTGTGGCTTGGCGTACACCGCCCTTATCCCCAGCAGCCTCTCCGGTAGCGTGCGGAACCTGCCGGGGCACATGCAGGCAGACGGAGAGTGAGGGGCAGACAAAAAAGACAGACATAGAGGGGGACAGGCAAGTGATGTATAGTGGGAAGGCACGCACGTGTGTGGGAGAATGCAAAGCAGAAGAAGTGAACTGCGGAAGCAGAGATACGCAAGGTGCTGACCAAAGGCCGATGGAACTAAGGCAGTTGAGGGAGAGGAGAAAGATGCAGGGGAATCACTTGGCGGAGTGAAGAAACACAATGAGGTTGAGCAGTGACGCCAATTTCACTGCACCCTCTGCCCGGTGTAGGAGCCGCCACAGCCAGTGGCGCCAGGATGCCTGCACGCACACGTGGCAAGGGAGGACCGACGTAATCAGGGGAAGGGGAATCCGGGAACCAGGGGACTACTTTTGGCCACAGTACATAAATCCAAGCAAGCAGTGGGACAACAAATGGTAGAAGGGAAGGGACCGAATCAGACCTGCTGTCGTTGAAGCGCCTCGCTCCCTGACCCGTGCCTCCCATAGGCGTTGGGCGGCATGTGTGCGTGCACGGGCAGCAGCCAGCGCGTGGAGTGCAGGCGCGCCCACACGTACTTTACTCCCCCTGTGAGCACCAGCCATAGCACCTTCTGCCCCACCGTCAGCCCTGGCCCCTCCACCCCCGTCCGCACTGCCACGTGGCCACGCAAGGGGGTGGGGAGCGACCGAGATCCACAAGAGGCATGTAGAGAGACAGGTGGGGGACGGGGGAGAGGGACGGCCGGAGGGGAAGAAGAGTGGGGGATGGTGGGGGTGGGTGGGAGAGGGAGGGGTTGAGTGGAAGAAAGTGAGGAGAGTGGGGGGGAGTGGGGAGCGTGGGAGGGAGTGGGGAAGGTGGGAGAAAGTCAGGGAGGATAAGTAAGGGAAAAGTGCATGTCCAGAAGTAACACGTCAAAGCAAGGCAAGAAGAAGCCCAAGACACACCAACGTCATTCCGCCCACACAGGGCAAGGCGCCACTCCCATTCCCACCCGCGTGGGACAGATCAGCCCACCTGGTACAGCAGGCGGTGCAGCCGCCCCTGCCCCCGCGCGTGCTGTGCGCTCGTCCCTGAAGCGGAGATTCATGAGAGCGCAGCCGGGCAGGGGGCGGTCGGCCCAGACGGAGAAGCGCCACACGAGCACGTCCAGCAGCAGCTCCACCTCCGCCTCACACCTCGCCACCCACGCCGCCTGCCATGCATGGGCGGACGGGCCGGGGTGGGGGTAGGCGGCAGGCCAGGGGGATGGGGTAGGGATCAGGGCAGCGGGGAGGGGTAAGAGGGCAGGCCAGAACGGAGGGGCAGGGGGAAGCGAGGGGACCGGGGAGACACGGGGCGTGAGGGGAGAGGGTGAGGCGCGTTGAGGGGAAGGGGGTGGGAGGGGGTGCATACTTGGAATATGGGGTGAAAGGAGAATGCACTAGGAGTGAGGGGCGGTGGGGTGGGGGCAGTGGGAGGGGGGAGGTGGGGAGAAGGGATGGAAGGAGAGGAAAGGAGGGAGGGCGAGCAGGGAAAAAGAGCTGAAGTACCGGCACGAGAGCGAAGACCCGCATGAGCTGCTCCTTGAGCATCAGCCGCATCTCGTCGTCCAATCGCAGCGCATCCATCTGATTCACCCGCAGCACGTGCAGGTCACGCGCCACATCGGTCCGCTGCAACGAGCCAAGGACAAGGGACCGATATAGGTGGACAGAGTTGCTTGCATAACGGCATTCTGGCTACGAACGATGCGAGCAGAGATTTTGCGAAACCAGCTAATATCCTCCTGAGCGGCAGAACGGAAGGCGAGAGGCGACATAGTGCGATGCTTGAAAGTGATTATAACGCGGCGCACCTGCAGCTGGTGCTGGATGGACTGCAGCTCTCCGGCGTGGCGCGCGACGACGGACAGCCACGTGGAGCCATCTGGTGGCTCCGCAACTCGACTGGAATTGCGGGATAAGGTTGATTCGGTTGGTTGACACGGTGTGTCCAATGGAGAAAAACGGATAGGAGCACGAGTACGTGGCACCTCAGGAGAGTATTTCTGACAACTTCGTAGCTTGGCCTAAACTGTGGCAGGTGCGCTATGCACATGCACATGTTACTGAGTTATAAGAAGGTGCGCCAAATCAACCAGCAGGCGACACCATCGATCATGCTCCTTCTAAGGAATTTGCTCTCTGTTCCTTACTGCAACCGTCAACATCGCGTACGCAACCATTGTTCGCCCGTTACTGCTAACGGGGCTTAGCCAACTTCGCGCGCACTGTTTCACCAAACCTTGCACCGCTGGCCCGGTGGAATCGGCCTACGCTTCGGGACTAGCCCGAACCTCGATGCCAGCCTAGCACTAGCTAACTCTTTCGCACCGCGTTACCGTTTGCATGTTTCGCGTATAAGTATTCGCTCAGGACGCGGTGAAAGTGAGAATATCGCAGGATCGCGCGTGTATATCGATCCGCAGACTCGATTGGGCGGATTGGTTGGCGAAACGATGCGCCCATGCGGTTGTAACGATCGCCCTTGCGGGATGGGTTGGATGTTACAGAAAGAAGATTTCGGCTTTGCCTACGACACCGTCTAAGAAAAACCCCTTCGCCCAACTACACCTGAGACATTCGCAACTAATAGAGCAACCAGCTTGAATTCCGCAAAAAGCCAGGATCATGCGCGTCTCCGTTATCGCACTGCGAAATTTCAGCATTTCGCAGGCATCAGCATCAATCGTGCATGTTGTGATAGGTTCGGTGCACATCATCTGCGCATTGATGCTGCGTAAGTTTTACAGCGATCGGTGATCAGTCGCGTTCTCTCACTGTGCACAAAAATGGACAAAAATCTCACTTTAGCATGGTTACACAGAAGTAAACAGGGTAACCGATCCACACACCGATCGCAACTGACGATCGATCGTCTGCTTTCACCGCGTCCTCATGCCTTCGCTCATACTTTGTACTTATTTGACACCCTCGTGCAATCCTCGTTACCTCGATTCATTACACCCGTAACACTTGGTATCAGAGCTACTTTCTTTTTTCGGACCGCGCATCTCCGCACCCCAGGAAATCAACTTTTGATTTTTTCACTCGAAGGGAATCACGCCCCTTAGCAACTAGGAGCCACTGTCCTCGCGTTCTCTCGTAAACGCGTGCAGCCACGACTGCGCCTAGACTAAGCTGAGCCGACGCCCTTCGCCATGGCTGAATACATTGACGTCACTACGCTCACCCAGGACCGCTTAGACGAACTGCTGCAGCAACTTCGCGAAAACTCCGAAGAAATCGCGGCACTGACGGCAGAACCTACGTCCGTGCAAAATGACGTCGCACGAGCACAATCGCAAGCACAAGGCACACCGGGACAACCCGCACAACAGGCATCGCACCACGGAAGTGTGGGGCAACCCGCGAGCGCGGCCATTGATGGCGTCGTCCGCAACGATGGAGACGACGATTACGGCACGACACACCCCGAAGCAACGAATGCGGCCAGAAGTCAACCCCGCGTGACGATTTTTGTGCCGGTCGGCGAATCAACACTGTAATCGCCGATGCCGCTGTGTCCGCCATGCTTTGACCCGAGTCAACGGGTTGGTCCTACCGTTCAGGCGTGGTTGTTCACGATGAACGTCTTCTTTGACGCCAACTACGTCTCGGAGGATACGGCGAAGATTCGCTATGACATGTCGCTGCTGCGAGGACCCGCCATGGATTGGTGGCGCGTCATCGTCACGAAGCCGACGGACTACGCGACTCTACCGACACGGAAAGGAAAACCGGACCCTGGGCACCGTCATATTTCGTGGAGGTGCCCAAATATCGCACGTGGGACGCGTGGTGCGCATGTCTACGCGCTCAATTTGAGCCGCTTGCGGCTTCGATTGTGGCGCGACAGAAGCTCCGCCCTTGGCACCAACTCGGTTCCGTCCCAGATTACACCAGCAGGTTTCTGGCGCTGTGTGAGCAGGTGGGCTATATGCACGAAAGTGAGCGCATCGACCGCTACATCGGCGGCCTGAAGCACGACATTGCTAAGGAAATCCAACTCCGCAGCGTCATCGACTTTCAGGAGATTCTCGGTATGGCGGAGAAGCTCGACTTTTTCCGCCGACCGAGACCGGGGTCCTACGGAAGTAGCAGCAACTGGGGACATCGGTCTCGTGGGACAAACGAGGGCGCTACGATACGTGCCGTCGCCGCAAATGCCGCTGCAGCACCGTTCAAAGGGCGCTGCTTCGCGTGCAATCGGCCGGGACATTGCAAAAGCGAATGCTCGGAAAACGTTAAGGGAAAGGGGGAAGCTGAGCAGCAGGAATATACCAAGCAGTAGGGAAACGCTGGGAGTCAGTAGCAGATGGGCCTTCTACTGACAGGTCACGCCGCTCGCCCGACCGAACCGACCCTCACCGAGTGATTGTGCCGGTTCATGCAATCGACCATACCCGACCGAATGAGGAGGGTACCGCGGTAGATAGCCCCATATGTCAAATTATATGTATGCTATATATGTTTAGGCTGTAGTGGGGTAGCCAATATGGGGTACTGCCCCTTTTAGGGTTTCATACTTGTACCCAACACTTTCCTAGTTGATCCATTCCTGCTAGTAGATTCTAACATGGTTTCAGAGCACTAGGTCCGTAGGACCGTCTTTTTTTCGGGCCCACCTACCGTTGCGGTTACCGCGCTACCCCACGTGTTGCCCTGCGCTGCGCTGCCTGCGCACGCCTTCCCCTGCCTTGCTTTGTGACGTGCTGCGCTGCGCGCGCCGTCCTGCAGCCCTCGCGCTGCCTGCTGCTGCCTTGCACGCTGCTCCCTCGTGCGCTGCCCTAGCTACGCGCGCACCGCCGTCGCAGCTTGTGCGCTGCCCCTGCAGGCCCGTAAGGCCAGCGCGCCGCCCCTGCAGGCCCGTAAGGCCCGTGCGCCGCCCCTGCAGGCCCGTAAGGCCCGCGCGCCGCCCCTGCAGGCCCGTAAGGCCCGCGCGCCGCCCCTGCAGGCCCGTCAGGCCAGCGCGCCGCTCCTGCAGGCCCTTGCCGCCCACGCGCAGCCTCTGCCCGACCGCGCGCCGTCCCTGCAGGCCCGTAAGGCCAGCGCGCCGCTCCTGCAGGCCCGTAAGGCCAGCGCGCCACCCCTGCAGGCCCGTAAGGCCCGCGCGCTGCCCCTGCAGGCCCGTCGGGCCGGCGCGCCGCCCCTGCAGGCCCTTGCCGCCCGCGCGCGGCCTTTGCCCGACCGCGCGCCGCCCCTGCAGGCCCTCGCCGCCCGCGCGCAGCCTCTGCCCGACCGTGCGCCGCCTCATCTACGGCCAGCCTGCGCCCTGCACCACCCCACGCCCGCCCTTGGGGCGGCCGCCCCTGCCCTGCCCTGCCGCCGTCGCGCCTGCAGCCGCAGTCACGGCCCCGCTGTAGCCGCCGTCGCACCTGCAGCCTTCGTCGCGGCTCTGCCCCGCCGTTGCCGCCGTCGCGGCCCTGCCCAGCCGTAGCCGCCGTCGTGCCTGCAGTCGCCGTCGCGGCTCCGTCGAAGCCGCCGTTGCGGCCCCGCTGCAGCCGCCCGTCGAGTGCCTGCCGCCGCCCGTTGAGCGCCTGCCCACTGCCGCCGGTGGCATCTGCCCTACCCGCCTCTGGTGAGCACCTGCCCTACCCGCACTGCTCGCACGCCTGCCTTGCCAGCGCGCTGCCGCGCGTGCCGCGCCTGATTGCCAACCGAGCCGCGCCGCCCTGCCCTACTGAGCCGCACTGCTCTGCCCTGCTGCTACTACTGTTCCAGCTGTCACTGCTACTACTACTGCACTGCCACTCCTGCTGCTACTGCTGCTACTGGCGGTGGCCAGATGCAGCTCCTGCGACGTCCGCGTGAGTCCCTCACGCCCCAGCAGCTTCGTGAGTGGTACACTAGTTGGGGATGTAGGGGTGGCCGTAGTGGGAGTCGCCCTGGAGCGGGTCATTTGGGAGCTTCTGGCAGTGGCCAGCTGCAGCTGCAGCGGCGTCCGCACGAGACTCTTCCGGCCCAGCAGCTTCGTGAGTGGTACGCTCAGAGTCGAGAGTGTCGGAGTACCGTTCGCTGCCCGTACGTCATTCGCAGAAGTGATCGGGCTGGTCAGGCTTGCAAGACGATCGGTCACACACAGTCCCGCTGCTTCGCCCGTCTGAGTGACGCCTGGCGTACCGAGTTTGGCGACGAGGCTGAGCTCCCCGCCTAGCTGGAGCTGCTTAGGCAGAGGGTCGATATCTTTGCTCTTGACTATGATGCTATCCTCACTGCCATGTATGCATTGTCTACTAGTGCTGCGGGTGCCTGTTACCTGTGTGTACCGCCTGACCCAGGTAAAGAGTCCACTACTCTCGGTGCTGGTGAGGCTGCTGCTCTAGGTGCCAGTGCGTCTGCTGCTCCAGGTGCTTGTGAGTTTGCTCTCTCAGGTACTGCGCCGACTGAGGCCTTGCACACCTTCACGCTTGACTCAAGTGCTTCCCGCTCTTTCTTTCGTGACTCCACCACGCTCACGCCTCTGCGTCGGCCGGTGGCGGTCTCTCTACCTGACCCCTCTTAGGGACCGGTTCTTGCACATTACTCCACTGTTCTCCCGTGTCCGGCGGTTCCGTCTGGCTCACTGTCAGGTCTTCACCTCCCCTCGT